GACTTCACTTTAGTGTGATAATCTCTAGGTCCATCCATGTTTCTGCAAATGACATTATTTCATTCATTTTTATGGCTGAGTGGTATTCCATTGTATATATATACCACATCTTCTTTATCCATTCATCTGTTGATGGACATTTAGTTTGCTTCCATGTCTTGGCTATTGCAAGTAGCGCTGCTGTGAACTGGAACCACTTTTATTTCCTATAACGTGAAATGAAGGCACAGAAGTCCCTGAGGAGGCCCCGAGTTGCACTTAATGGTAGTCATGTAGGCCCTAAAAGAATTTGTTATGAGGAACAAGAAAAGGCCCTGGGCCTCTCCTAAGCCCTGAAGTGGTGAGACGAGAGACGAACGTAACTAAGCAGAAGAGTTAACCCCAGGCTAAGGACGTAAGTAAATGTGAAGAAGCACAAGAAGAAGGAACAACTCAGCATTAGCGGCAAGGAAGCTATTTCCTGTTTCTGAGAGCTGTGGACCTCCTGCGTCCTTCGCTCCAGTTCTTGGGAGGGCACAGAATTGGGGCCTAGCAGAGAAAGTCTCCTTCCTTATATGAACACAGGAACCCGGGAAACTTCTGTTTCCAGTGTTCCAGGCTGTCTGGTAACTGAAAGGTAAAACAGCTCAGCCTCCCTGACCCCCAAAACCATGCAGGCAGGGCCTGGACAGTGTTCAAGCACGTGTGGGCACCAGAGAGCTGGCCGAACCACCTTTTCTCTTCCACCCTGGCTTGTTGGCCCACGCCCTTTGCACTCTTCCTAAAGCCAGAACCTCTCAAATAATTAACTTTAGCATGTGGAGAAGCTCAGTGGTTCTCCAGTTTGGTCACACATTCTATCACTTAGGGACACTTTAAACAAACTCAGTTCAGCTAGGGTGGATCCCAGATGTAGGTATTTTCTCAAAAGCATGCCAGGTGATTTGCAGCCAGGTTAAGAAGAGCTGAAATGACTAATCTGGAGCCAATTTAGAAAGTCAAGTAAACACAGAATTTGTTGATCTTTGGGGTGTCCGAAAAACACCTTGTAAATAATTAGCCTTTGGTGAACAAGCAAAACCGAGGAGATTCTGGATATTGTGTCCTCTGGGTTGCCTTCTTGAGGTAATTCTTGAGGATCTTGTGGGGGGTGTCATTTAGCCTCTGGCCTCCTAAGCTTTCACAGTATGGCAGAATGGATCATGCCTGTGACCGTCTGCACACAGAAAACACCACCGTGAACTGTGCAGTCTGATGCAATCTTCATCATGACACTGAAAGACAATTTATTGAAGAACAGTACCACTGTCCAGGATATAAACTTAGAAAGTTTCATTCATAAAGATATTCCAGGCAATTTGTCACAGACTCCCAGAATCCACAAGATGCTATGGAGAGTAAGGACAGCCTTGTCCCAGCACTACCTCTCTTCCTGGTCATCCCATCCCCAACCAGAACCTCTAAATCTGTCTCCTGTGTCATCTTCATACCACGTGTGGACAAGACTGAAAGCCAATGATTCAGCAACTGGAGGGAAGGAGTTGCTTCCTTGCTGCTCAACATGCAAAATAGCAGCTCCTCTGTTTGGCTTTCAAGTCTGCCTCTTTCAATCACCACCAGCTATGCTTTACTGCTGATGTTCTAAGATTTGGTGACTGCATGTGTGTTTCAACTAGGCACCCTTTTGGCACATCACATCTAAACTCTCATCTTCTTCTGAAGACCAGAGTTTGGTTTTTGCTTGCCAATATGTAAGGGACATGCTTTCTGCTTGTCATTTTAATTACTCTCTATTGAACCTTTTCCAGTTCTGTTATGTCATCTGTAAGTGCTGGAAAAGAATGACACACATTATTTTGTAAATTTACTATAATTGGATACAAGGATAGGACCATGATATTTTGTCTCTAGTATTCTTATCTGCAAGTTATTGGGGGTACAGGTGTGGGATGGAGGCAGGACAGTAGATTCATGACTTCAAGGAATAGTTTCAAGTTCATTAAATTAGTTTTGTTGAGTTGTTATTCCCTTCTTGTTGCCCACAAGTGACACTCAGTTGGCAGGTGTCGCCCTCCTATGCAGCTCTATACATCCTTGTTCAGCTCTATTCCTGCCACTGTCAGCTCACTGCCTGGCCCTAACTTGGTGTCACAAACGACCTTGGAGATTCCGCTATGTATCTCTTCCCTGAATCATTTATCATCAGGGAAATTAAGACTTGGATGTTCATACTGCAGAATAAAAATGAGACAGGTTCTTGCATTGATTTTTAAAAAATATTTTTTCCTGTTTTCAAAAAAGCACATGTTCTTTTAAGACATTTTGAAAATGAAAATCACTCCTGGTCTGACCACCCAGAGATCATCTCTGCTAATACCTTGGTTTACCATCTTCCATTCTTTTATTGAGGGAGCACAACACACAAAGAGATAGAAACTCTTTCCCTTTATCTTTTAAAAATATGATATTTGGCACACACAAAACAGACACACCAAAAAACAAAACATCATGAATAATTGGCAATAATGTCATTTACCTAAGTGCTCTCAGCCTATCATTTCCTCCCACAGGATAACTATTTTCTTGAAGTTTGGAATAATTTTACAAATTGTTTGGCTCTACTTGATTTTAAGCTTTATGAAAAATGGAATCATATTTTTAAAAAATTTATTAAAGTATCATGGAGGAGGGCAGGGCAACCCACTCCAGTATTCTTGCCTGGAGAAGCCCCATGGACAGAGGAGCCTGGCAGGCTACAGTCCATGGGGTTGCAAAGAGTCAGACACGATTGAACAACTAAGCACACGTTAAAGTATAGTTGATTTACAATGTTGTATTAAAATGGTATCATATTATGTAAGTCTCTGGCTTTTTTTTTTACTCAAAAAATACAGTGAGTCATTTTACCAGATTATTTATGTAGGCATAATTCTTTCATTTTCACCACTGTTCAATGTTTCCACTGTGAAGATATACACAATTATTTAATTCTTCTCTTACTGTACATTTAGTTTATTCTTAGTCCATTGCTGTTATAATCTGTGCTTGAACATGCCTCTTTAAAAAAAAAAAGACTTGGCTGTGCCAAGTCTTAGTTGTAACATGTGGGCCTTCAGTTTTTGTTGCAACATATGGGATCTAGCTCCCTTACCAGGGATCAAACCCCGCCCCCTGCCTTGGGAGTGGGCAGTCTTAGCTACTGGACCACAAGGGAAGTCTTTTGTACATAGCTCTTCATGCATGTCAAGAGTGCCTTTGGGGTGAAATTGTTGAATATGAAGTATGCAAAATTTCATCATTATGAGGCATTGACAAAATAGCTGCTCCAGTTTACATTCCCAGCATTGGTGCATAAGAATTCCCAATTGATCAACCACTTGTTCGACATTTGGAATTGTCAGAATTTAAAACTTTTGCCTTTCTAGTAGCTGTGCAACATTGAACATTAATTTGCATTTTCCTAAATACTAATGAAATTGAGGATCTTCTCATATGTTTACTTACCACATGTGTTTGCTTTTCTATAAAATGTCTGCTTTATACTTTTGCCCTTTTCTACTGGGTTGTTTGTCTCACACATATTTTTAAGCAAAATTTTAATCATAGTATACGTACTATCTTACACTTTTCCAAGACAAGAAATATTCTTTTACATTGTGATTTTAGTGGCCGTGGTATCTTCTATCTCATGGATATCTCATAATTTAATTAATTAAAGCCCTGTTCCTTTCCCCCTCTCCCCAATTCTTGTTTTTAGAATTAACTCCGATAAGATATTCTACTGCATAAATGTACTGCATAAATGTGTACTACACATCCACTGAAAGTTTTCATAAAATTAGTTGCAAGAGTGTGGATTTCTGGCTCAAAGAATGTCAATATTTTATAAGATTTGACATGTATTTCCAAATCATCTTCCAGAAAAGTGGTATAATTTACATTTTTTCAAAAAAAGCTTTAACACTAGATATTAAATTTTAAATATTTTGCTAATATAAGTAGTAAATATTAACAATAAAGACAATCATATTATCAATTTATTATTATTATTAATAATACTAATAATTAATAGTAGAATATATTTACTGTCCATTGTGTTTCTTCTTTTCCTGATATTAATTCTTTTTCTCCAGTTTACTGTTTGCATTAGACTAAAACTTATATCTAAGTACTATGTTCAAAATGCCTTGGTTTACTTCTTTGCCCCACCTGACATACAGTTGGGTTCATTTTTTTCTATTTGCATTTAGTTACAGGTTTTAAGTTTTCTCTACTTTCATTGATTTACTTTTATTATTTGAATGTACATAGTATTAACATAGCAATGACAAGATGGCCATACACTATATTTGCTTTTGATCTTTGTTTTATAACTTAATAATCTACCCTGGTAATTACTTTGTATCAATTCATCAAGATACTCTTCATTGCTTCTCAGTAGCCAATCGTGTGTGGGTATCACAGTTTACTCAGCCTGTCTTCTGTGTTTGAGCATTCAGGTAGTTTCCAATATCCTGCAAACACCATTAACGGTACAATGAAGATTCTTCCATATGTAAGAGTACCTATTATTTTTTTTTTTAATTTTTTCATTTATTTTTATTAGTTGGAGGCTAATTACTTTACAATATTGTAGTAGTTTTTGTCATACATTGACATGAATCAGCCATGGATTTACATGTATTCCCCATCCCGATCCCCCCTCCCACCTCCCTCTCCACCCGCTCCCTCTGGGTCTTCCCAGTGCACCAGCCCTGAGCACTTGTCTCATTCATCCAGCCTGGGCTGGTGATCTGTTTCACTCTAGATAATATACATGTTTCGATGCTGTTCTCTCGAAACATCCTACCCTCGCCTTCTCCCACAGAGTCCAAAATTCTGTTCTGTACATCCGTGTCTCTTTAGCTGTTTTGCATATAGGGTTATCGTTACCATCTTTCTAAATTCCATATATATGCGTTAGTATACTGTATTGGTCTTTTTTTTTTTTTACTTTTATTTGCATTTATTTTTTGCGGCATTTATTCCCGGGCCATAAGTTTTTGTTTTTTCAGTTTCTTCTGGGATATCTTTTTCTTCTGTGCAACCTCCTCTTCTGGTTTAGGAACAATCTGTTCTTTTTCAGTAAGGATCATCTCAATGTGGCAGGGAGAGCTCATGTAGGGGATGATCCGACCGTGAGCTCTGTAAGTCCTGCGCCGCATCTTGGGGGCTTTGTTCACTTGGATGTGCTCAATGACCAGAGAATCTACATCTAAGCCCTTAAGTTCAGCATTACTCTCTGCATTTTTGAGCATATGTAGTAAAAATTCAGCACTCTTTTTGGGCCACCGACCCTGCGTCCAGCCCCACTGTTTGGCCTGTGCACACCTACCAACTCCACCATTGTAACGACGGAATGGCACACATTGCTTCTTTAAAGTGACATCCTTCAGATACTTGGTGGCTTTTCGGATATGCATACCCTTTATGGCCTGGGCAGTCTCACGAGTGTTCTAAACATAATAACGTAAGCTTAAAGTGAACACGAAGATTTGAACCTCTTGATTTGCATGATTTTGTGGGGTTTTCTGGGTCGAGTGAATAGCGCACCATTTTCAAGGGTCAGCTCAGGCCGCTTACCGGAAAAGAACTGTATTGGTCTTTATCTTTCTGGCTTACTTCACTCTGTATAATGGGCTTCAGTTTCATCCATCTCATTAGAACTGATTCAAATGAATTCTTTTTAATGGCTGAGTAATATTCCATGGTGTTTATGTACCACAGCTTCCTTATCCATTCGTCTGCTGATGGGCATCTAGGTTGCAAGAGTACCTATTATTTTGGAGATATCATTTTTAGAATAAATGCCTAGAAGTGGGAGTGCTAGTTTGAACGGTAAATGTGCAAATGTTCCAGTAGATATTGCCGAATACTCCTCCACAAGGGTTGTACTATTTTTCATGCCCTCTAGTAATATTTGTTTTCCTGTAATTTCACCAACAGAGTGATGCTGTATATGTCTATCCAGTTGTCCCCACACCATTATTTAAAAATTCCTTTTCACTGCTGCCATTTAACTGGTTATCATATACTGGATTTTTATATTTTTGTTGGGTTGATTTCTGTTCGCCACTCAGTTACAATGGTCTTGATATTCATATGTCAGAACCACACTGTTTCCATTTAGGAGGCTCTGTAGTATGTTTAGTATTTGCTGGGACTAAACACCTCTCATAGCTCCTCATTTTCAGTGTTTTAGTAGCTATTCTTGAGTGCTTTTTTTCCCCATATGATCTTTGGTATCAATTTGTCTAGCTGCATAAAAACTTGTGTATATTTTTTGCAGAAGCTTGTTAAATTCATAAATTAACATAAGGGGAACTGTCATCTTGATGATATGAGATATTTTAACTGAAACCAAGGGATGTCTTGTTCAAGTATACTTTCGGGTCTTTCAAGATTCTCTTTTATAAAAGAATTTTTATAAAATAAAATTTTTTTTTTCAAAGAACTCTTTTTTTATCAAATAATTAGATTTATTGAGACATAATTCATTTTCAATCCAACTATTTAAACTGTGCAGTTCAGTGGGTTTTGTATATTCATGGAGTTGTATAACTATCACCACAATCAACTTTAGAGCATTTCCATCATTTCAAAAAGTAAACCCATACCCAATATCAGTCCTTTCCCAGTACCTCAACGCCTCCAGCCTCTGGCAATCACTAATCTCCTCTCTGTATGGACTTGCCTATTCTGGACATTTCATATATTCAGTTCAGTTCAGTTGCTCAGTTGTGTCTGACTCTTTGCAATCCCATTTCATATATACGGCATATATAATACATGGTCTTCTGTAACTGGTTTCTTTCACTGGGCATAATGTTTTCAAGGTTCATCCATGTTATACCACATACCCCATTAATTTTTTTATTGTTGAATAATATGCCACTGTATGGATGGATTTACTGTATTTTGTTTATCCATTTCTCAGTTGATAGACTTCTGGGGTTGTTTTTGCTTTTTGGCTCTTGGGAATAAGACCCAATGTGTGTGTATGGGTCTCTGTGCGGGCATTTACGTTCAAGTCTCTTGTGTATATACCTAGAAGTAGAATTGCTGGGTTAGATGATAACTTTATGTTTAACATTTTCAGGAACTGCCAAGCTGTTTTCCAGATCAATTGCACTGTTTACATTCCTACTTCAATCAGTTCAGTCAGTTCAGTCGCTCAATTGTGTCCGACTCTTTGTGACCCCATGAATCGCAGCACGCCAGGCCTCCCTGTCCATCACCAACTCCTGGAGTTTACTCAAACTCATGTTCATCGAGTTGGTGATGCCATCCAACCATCTCATCCTCTGTCATCCCCTTCTCCTCCTGCCCCCAATCCCTCCCAGCATCAAGGTCCTTTCCAGTGAGTCAGCTCTTTGCATGAGGTGGCCAGATTATTGGAGTTTCAGCTTCAGCATCAGTCCTTCCAATGAACACCCAGGACTGATCTCCTTTAGGATGGACTGGCTGGATCTCCTTGCAGTCCAAGGGACTCTCGAGTCTTCTCCAACACCACAGTTCCTACTTACAATGTATCAAATTTTCAATTTCTCCACATCATCACCAAACTTGTTATTGTCTGTGATTTTGGAAATGGGGGTGAAGTAGCATCTCAGTGTCTTTGGTTCATATTACACTAATAGCTAATCATGTTGAACATATGTTTTGAAGAAATCCTTTCCCATTTTTCAATTGGGTTATCTGTCTTATGGTTGTTGTATTGTTCATACATTCTGGTTATAAGCTCCTTATCATGTATATTATTTAGAAATATTTACTCCCATTCTGTAGACTGCCTTTGTACTTTTTTATGGCATCCTTTGACATACAAAAGTTTTAAATTTGGGGTATATATCTGTCTTTTCTTTTGTCATTTGTGTTTGTGGCATTGTGTCTAAGAGGGGTTTGCCAAACCCACAATAATTAAGATTTATATTTATGTTTTCTTCTGAGTGTTTTATAGTTTTAGTTTTTATATTTAAGTTGTTGAAGTCCTAAGCAGTACCACAGAATGTGGCGGTATTTGGAGATAAAGTCTTTTAAAAGATGATGAAGTTAAAACTAGGTCATTAGAGTGGACCCTATTTGTATATGACTGATGTCCTTAGAAGAGCAGGAGATTAGAATGCAGACAGTAACAGTACAAAGGGAAGACCATGTGTGGACACAGGGAGAAGATGGCCATCTACATGCCAAGGAGAGAGGCCTCAGAAGAAATCAACCCTGCTGACACCTTGATCTTGGACTTCTAGCCTCCAGAACTCTGAGGAAATAAGTTGCTGTTCTTTAGGTCAGTCTGTGGTACTTTATTATGGTAATTCTTGCAAAGTAACACAAAACCCCACTTAGTCATTTTATATTATCTTCTTAAATCACACAGATCTTGTGCTTATTTGAAAGAGAGAAATAACTTTATTTCTTTTCTGCTAGTATAGGAGTGGCAAACTGCAACCTATGGACCACATCTAGTCTGTTGCCTATTTTGGTTAATCCAGTTTATTTGGGACATAGCTGCATCCACTTATTTGCATATTATTTATAGCTGCTTTGGTGCTACAATGGCAGGGTTGAATAGTTAAGCCTGCAACTCAAAATATTTACTATCTGGGGGCTTTAGAAAAAAAATTTGCTGAGCCCTGCTCTAGTAGCTACTTAGGATGGGCTTATGTGGACAGTTCTTGAATTTTAAAAAGTTTTTTTAATAGCCTTTGATGCTTGAAAAACAGCATGGATGGATGGATATAAAATCCTTAGCTGGTATTTTCTTTCCTTGAGCTTTTAGGAAATACTGAAAATGCTGCATCACTATAGCCTTGCTTTGCTGTTAAGAAGTCTGATGCCAAATACTTTGGTTACCAAACTCCATAACAAACTACCTACCTAAAAGGAAGGCATAAAGAAAGAACCATTTTGATGATAATTCACAAACTTTGGGGTCAGGAATTCAGGTAGGATTTGACTGGGTGAATACCAGTTGATGGCTGGGCTCATACAGAGAACTCATGATGACTTCACTCATAACAGCAAGGATCAGGCAAGACCCTCTTCCTCTCCGTGCAGTCTCAGAACCTCTCCTCAGGGAGTTAGATACTCTACATAGTGAGTCAAGTCATCAAGGGCAAGTGTTCCCAAAGACCTAAGTGGTCTCTTCAAGACTTCTTACGACATAGGCTTGGAAGTCCCATAACATCACACATTCTATGGGTCAAGCAATTCACTTAGGCCAGCCTGGATACAGAAAATATAGTCATCTTTAAAGTACTGCAGCCTTATTTTCTTACACTTTTAAATAATTTGAATTTTTTGCATGGAAGCCATGAAGATGATTATTTTTATAGTTTTAGAAGGGCTTTCCTGGTGGCTCAGTGGTGAAGATTCCGCCTGCCAATGCGGAAAACACGGATTCGAGCCCTGATCGGGGAAGATTCCACATGCCATGGAGCAACTATAGCTGTGTGACACAACTGTTGAGCTTGTGTTCTCAAGACGGCAAGCTGCAACTATGGCGCCATCGTGCCACGACTGTTGAAGCCCGCGCACCCTAGAGTCTGTGCTCCGCAACAAGAGAAGCCACCGCAATGAGAAGCCCGTGCACTGCAACTAGAGAGGAGCTCCTGCTCACCGCAACTAGAGAAAAGCCCTCACAGCAACGAAGACCCAGTACAGCCAAAAATAAATAAATGAATAAAATGAATTCTTTTTAGAGACTAGCTCTCAGGATTAATCATTCTGTGGTCATTTCCCCAAGTATGTGTGAGCTCTTTCATTTTGTAAGTAAGTATTTTCTTATTTCCAGAATGTTTCTTATAGTTTTATCATATGTGGAACTTCAGTTACATATACGTTGGACATTCTTTGACTGTATTCAAAGAATATTCCAAAGAGACAGAGAAACAAGCACAGAGGTATGGAGATAGGGAAAGTGGAAATGATTCAGGGGTTCAGATGGGGTGTATGCAGGAAGCGACAAGAGACTGAGTGGAAAATAAGACAGAGGCTAGATAAATAGAAGGTCTTATGTGCCAGCCATGATACCACAAGCAGCGAATTAAAAAAAAATTTTTTTTTCTGACATGCAGTATGGAAAATGGATCAGAAGGAACAAGACTGCAGGAGGAGATAAGATGCTACTGCATTAGTCTAGGTAAGAGGGGTTAAGAGGGACAGATTCTAGATTTATGCATGAGGGGAGTCAACAGAATTGTTGAGTGTGGTGGTGTGTGCATGTGCTCACTCTTTGCCACCCTTTGCATTGTGGCCAGCCCGGCTCCTCTGTCTGTGGGGTTTTTCAGGCAAGAATACTGAGTAGGTTGCCACTTCCCCCTCCAGGGGATCTTGCTGATCCAGGGATAGAACTGGGGTCTCCTGCATTGCAGGGGAATTCTTTACTGCTGAGCCACTGTGGAAGCTGGGTGTGGTGGTGTTGGGGGTAAAGATTCAAGGATGACTCCCAGGTTCTGGGCAACTGAGTGGACAGGAAGGCTAACAGTTTTATTTACTCATTTTTATTTTTTGACCACTCTGTGCAGCAAGTGGGATCTTTGTTCCCTGACTAAGCATCAAACCCGCAACCCTACTCCCTCCATCCCCACCACTGGATCACCAGGGAAGTCCTGATGCTAACAGTTTTTAGAAAAGTAGAGCTTGAGATGGCTCTAGGACATCCAGGTAGAGATGTCTGGTAGACTTGTGTGTGTGTAGAACTCAGGTGAGTGGTCTGAGCTAGTTAACACACTCGGGAGCTGCTGATATATGTCGCAGATGAAGACAGAGTGGATGCAACAGCTCAGGGAGAATGCACTGTATGGGGTGTGATGAAAGCTGAGAACAGGACCTTGGAGACTGAGGAGTGGTCAGAGGGATTAGGAGGTAAGTCTTGTTGCAAAGGCCAGGGGGGGTGTCAAAAAGAATGGAATGCCCTGTGTTACCAAATGCCACCAGGAGCTCTAGTAATAGAGGACTCAAAAATGGCCTGGGGCATTGAGAATGAAGCCAGTGCTTACTGACCAAGAGCAGTGCAGTGATGTGGGGACAGAAGCTACACACTATATGTTGGGGAGTGAGAGGGAGCTGAGTTAGCAGAAATGAGAGGAAACTACTTTTAAGACTTTTGTCAAGGAAAAGACAGGGAGGGAATAGTAACTAGAGTATGATCTAGAGTCACAGAGGTTTCTTCCTTTTTCTTTAGGACAAGAAAAACTTCAACATGAATAAATGGTGAAAGCAAAGGGCATGTAGGTAAAACAGGCCGGTGATTTTGAGAGTGAGGGTGATGACTGCATATGTTTGAAAGATTGCAATATGTTTCTGAGGATGTGAGAATTGATGAAATACAGAACTGAGATGGAGAGATGCTAATATGAATATATTTGAAGTGGTTTAGTTCCCAGAATGGCTGTCCACATACTGAAATTATTTTGGTTTCAATCACTGTAACAAACATAGCAAGCAACATTTTTACAGATTTATTTTACATCATTTACACATCTTTCCTCCAAAGGACAGGATCAATGTTTTATCCTTTCACTACCTCTCACGCAGTTGATGCTTAGTGAGTAGTAAGTGAATAAAAAAAGTGTCTCTTAACCCTGAGTATCTTAACATATTCAGAACATGGTTAAGACCCTGCATGCAAGTGAAGAAGTCTTCTAAGCATGCAAAACAGTCACAAAATTCATAAGTGATAGAAGATGCCAATTCTTTTTTTTGAGGAATGTTTACTCTCCTTAACAAAGTTGGTTACCAGCACTTCCTTCACCTTGGGGGTTTAAAAATAGGAAGATGAGAGCAGGAGGAAAAGGATGCTCTGAAGGCAGGCAGGCAGACCACAGTAGAAGGTGGCATGATCTGCTTTACTATAAGGTGCCAAAAAGCAGTGAAAAAGCAGATCAAAGCACAGGGCACTAGGCTGTCTTAGCTTAGGGATTTACATCCGTCACCAACATATGGAAAGTCCTTAAAGGACACTGCTGTTTTCAGCCTTAAATGATGTTGACAAGAATGATCCTATGGGGACGGAGGGAGGGAGGGAGGGAGGGAGGTTCAAGAGCCAGGGAACATATGTATACCTATGGCTGATTCATATTAATGTTTGGCAGAAACCAACACAATTCTGTAAAGCAATTATCCTTCAATTAAAAAAATAAAGAAAAAAGAATGATCTTTTGAGTTCTTAAGAAAAAAAAAAAAGAAGCTTTGCTGTTCCCCATGTGGCATCATCTCCTGTTTCACGTAGTTTGGAAAGGATTCTATCAAAAACGGATATTAAAAAGCTGATGCAGAAATGGTAATCCTACGTCTCTCTCTCTTCGTTTGCCCAAGCTGTTTACCTAGACTTTGATGCCCTCCCCCCCTCCTTTTTTCCCTCCTAGGACTCCTCTCTTTCTTCCTTGCAGGCTGAACACAGATGCCACCTCTTCCAGGAACCTCTCCGCATCGTCCAAGCGGAAGTAATCTCTTCCTCCTCTGAGCTCCCACAGCATCTCATAGCGGCTCTGGCTTTGCACGGGTCACCAGACCTGGTTGTTTACACGGCTGCTTTTCCACTAAGTTATGCGCTCCTGGAGACCGGGGACCGTGACCGTGACGGTGTACCCACACAGCACCTGGTACAGCGTTACAGAGCTGGGCACGGAGTCGGTGCTCAGGAAACAGTTTGCTGAGTTGAATTAATTTGGAAATACCACTCAGGGCAGTGTCTCCTGCTCCAGGCGCGGATGATGAATGATTTATGGGGGTGGTTCTTCGCATTCTTTACCTTATAGTCACGTCGGGCCGAACATCCAGGTGGCGGGGTACATACCTGTGGAGTTGAAACGCACCTCCAACGCACGCCGCCGGCTCACAGGAAAGGCCGGCAGGGGGCAAGTTTCCCCGCCCTCCCGGAACCGGGCCGCAGGGGGAGGGGTTCGAAGGGAACCCAGCCCGCCGGCCCGCCCCCTCCTCGGCGCAGCGGAAGCCCCGCCCCCAGCCGCGCGCTCGCGCAGGCGGCGCGTGCCCGCCCCCAGCCCTGCGCCCTCGCGCCCTCGCGCCCTCGCGCCCTCGCACCGGGGGCGGGCTCGCTGCGCGTGCCGGGAGGGTAAGCGGCGCAAGCTGGGTGCCTGAGAACGTTCGCCGCGGGGGCGGCTCCGGGGCCTGAGCGGGCGCCGCCACCGCCACAGCCGCGGGGGCCTGGCCGGAGGAGGCGGAGGAGGTTGCAGCCGCCGGAGACCTTCTCGACGCCCCCAGATCCGGCCGGGAAGTGAGTACGGCTAGGGTTTGCGGCGGCTGCCCCAGGCTGCGGGAAAGGAGCGCGGTGCCGGAGCCTCGCGCCCGCGAGGAGCGGGAAGGCGCCCGCGCAGCGCCCGCACCTCGGGAGCCTGCGGGTTTTGCAGGGCCGGCAGCGGCCGGAGACGGCGCACCGGGAGCCGGGGCCGCTGCACCGCCAGCCCTGTGAACGGAGACCGCGCCGCGCTCCCGGCCCTGGAGGGGCGAGCGGAGAGGATGGAGCGGATTCCCGGGCCGGCGTCGCCGGCCTCTGAGCCCCGGGCCGGGGAGGGGGCTCCGGTGTTCCTATCGCGCTTTGGCCGGCGGGCACGGAGCCGGGGTGCGGGCGCAGGGTGATGCTGCCCGAGCCCGGCTTGGTGGGAGGAGGCTCTGCATTAGGTGTTGAAGGGGGCGAAGGAGGCAGGTCCTGGCAGAGGGCAGGTGAGGCAGGCAGGCCCTGGCAGAGGGAAGGGAATTTATTTCAGATCATCCCCAAACACTATTTCCCGAGGCGCCTAACTGTGACCCTGCACACCGAGGTCACCCTTTTAAGGAAAGTGTCCTGAGAGGAAGAAGGATGCAACTAACGTATGTTTGCTGTTAAATTCCTGTGCCAGGCCTTGGGATTAGGAAGACCTTCCAGCAGCCTCAGCAAACAGTTTGTTGGTTAACTACCTTGGGTAGAGAACTTGGGTAGTCAGTACTGGGGTCACAATTGTGTAAAGCACAACCATCATTTGCTACTTAGGTGCTGGCAGTTTTTGGTTGTAAAGGTTTGCGTATGAAATACAAAGCAGCTTTGGATTTTGTCTCTTTCACTTTGTCTTCTTTCCAGTAGTATTGGGAAATTGAAGCCATAAAATTGCTTGGTTTGAGGATTAAAGCAGGAGGGTCAAGGAAGCTTGTGGGAGGTATTTGGGAGAGTTTTATAGACACTTCTGTGTAACATTTAAAGAGAGAGAAGGAAAAAAGGAAATTGGAAAGAGGGTTTCCTTTCTTCCCAAGCAGCAGGCACTGAATACCTGCCTACTGCATGAATGAATGGACCCAGCAAGGTTTCGCTCTATTTTATGTGGAGCACTGTTGATCAATGTGATGTTAGGGATGCTGATGGACTCCTCTTGTCCCTCAAGTTTCCTGTCTCTTTTTTGCCCTGTAAGAGGTTCTCAGGTCTGGGCTAAGCAGTGGCTAAGGTGATGGAGTTGTCAATCTTGTGGCCGTGCCGCCACTTTCACAACTTTATTCTGTGTTGACTGCCAGGAACTTACTCCTTGGGTCATTGCTTCAAATCATCCCCTTCTGGCCCTTCTCTCTTCTGTCACTTGAAGAAGGGGAGAATGTCTGTCTAGAGAGCATGCTTTCATTTTTATCTTGGCTCTTGCATCTTAGATCTGTGGTCAGAGAATGTGACTCTGCTCTTCCATGAGGGCTGGGACTCTATGTTTTTTCCTGCCTTCATTGAATTTCTGGACTCTCAAGCTCCAGGCCGCTGTTTCAGCTGCCTGGGTTGCAGTGCCTGTTGGGTTACTTTGTCTGCCAAACTAAAACTTGACCTTTTATGAGTTCTGGGAGGATTTTTATCATACATCAATGGAATTACCTTTGAAGGGGGTTGTGTAGTTAGCGTAGTGTTGGCAGGACTTTTGAGTGTCCACTATGAGTGAGAGAGAAAATTTCTACTTAGGAAATCAGATTGAAAACCTATGGAATTGGTTTAAAGCACTTACTTTGAATCTCTCAGGACCTGTGTTTCCTTGTATAAAAATAAAATATTAATTCAAATTTGGCCTTGTGTGGTAAGCCTTGAAGAACTAAGTCAATTTCTCTTTAGTTTTAGGACGGTGCACTTAATTAAGAGTGCAACCATCAGGTGTCTACTAGTTCTTATTTTGGGGTGCAGTACTTTAGGATGCCTTGTTCTCCTTTTTCTCAGTAATATTGTGTTTTATTTATTTATATACTTAGTTTACATTTAGAAGTGTTCGTCTTTCATTCATGTCTGACTCTGCGACCCCATGGACTGTAGCCTGCCAGGCTTCTCTGGCCATGGAATTCTCCAGGCAAGATGACTGGAGTGGGTTGCCATTTATTTCTAAATCACCTTTATTGATGTTTGCATAGATGTCCTGTGCAGAGTTGGTGGAGTTTGAAAAATGTATGTACAAATCTTCCTCAGCTTCTGATGAGGTTACGTCTGATAAACCCACTGTAAATTAAAAGTACAGTAGGTTAAAAATGCATTTAATACACCCCAGCTGCCAAACATCATAGCTTAAGCTAGCCTACTTTAAACATGCTTAGAACACTTACATTAACCTACTGTTGGGCAAAATCATCTAAGACACAATGCCTGTGTTATAATAAAGTGTTGAATGTTCCATGTAATTTACTGAAACTGTACTGAAAGTGAAAAGCAGGGTGGTTGTAAGTGTCTCAGCTGTTTATCCTGGTGATCAGGAACTGCAGATCTTTGCCACTGCCCAGCGTCACGAGTATCTTACTGCATATTGCTAGCCAGGGGAAGGGTCAAAATTCAGATTTGAAGTAGTTTCTCTTGAATGTGTATTGCTTTTGCACCATCATGAAGTAAAAAATCATAAGTCAAATGATCATAAGTTGGGAACTGTCTACTTTGTAACCACTGTGCCAACAAAGATAAAGAAATTTGCATCACTCCAGAAACTCCCTCATGCTGGTTTGCAATATCCTCATTTCCTCTTACTTTATTTATTTCTAGTTACAGAAGCATCAGGGCCCTGGCATTGGTGCAGGAAGTATACTGCCGGGTTTTAGGGGTTGCCATTCACACAGGAATCCTTGTGAGTGGCAGTTCCTGGGGTTGCGTCCTGCAGCCTGGAGCTGTGTCCTGCAGCTGTGCAAATGGCTCATGAATGCACACTTTCTCATAAAAGGCTCAACCAGTACATACAGAAGAAAACCCCCCTTGACCCACTCCCTTCTCCACTGAAACTGCAGTTATCAGTTTGTTGGGATTCTTCCAGACCTTACCCTATGTATTATCAATTACATATAGGTAATAAAAATAGGATTCCCCCCACAACCACATTAATGACATGATACTGTACACACTGGTCTGCAACATTCTAACAGAATGCCTGAAATCTTTCCATGATGAAACAGAAAGATCTCCCCGATTCTTCTTGATTCCTACACAATCCCATATGTAGTTCGTATTGTACAGTAGTTTATTTAATCCTCTGCTCATTCAAGTAAAGTGAAGTAAAGTCGCTCAGTCGTGTCCGACTCTTTGCGACCCCATGGACTATAGCCTACCAGGTTTCTCTGTCCACGGGATTTTCCAGGCAAGAGTACTGGAGTGGGTTGCCATTTCCTTCTCCAGAGGATATTCCCCATCCAGGGATTGAACCTGGGTCTCCCGAATTGTAGGCAGACGCTTTACTGTCTGAGCCACACAGGGAAGTCTGCTCATTAATGGCCATTAAAGCTGTTTGCCATTTTACACATTGTTGTAGTGAGTAAAAAGTAGAATTGCTGGGTCAAAGGAGTATATGCTTTAAATTAGTTGATGGAGATTTAACCATGTTGCCTCGTGTAGTCTGGTTCATTTATTTTTAAATGCTGAGTAGTGTTCAATTGTAGACTTAAGTCACTGTTTATGTGTCCTTTGCTTGCTGTGGAACAGTTAAGTTACTTTGGATACTAATTCATAGGTGGACATATGTGTTGCCAGTGTATCCTGCCAGTCAGAGGCTTGTTAACAATGTCTTCCGTTGTTTACAAGTTTTACATTTTAATGTGTTTATGAAAAAAATTTACATTAAATAAAAAAAAATTTTGTTTCCCTGTCTAGTTTAAGTAATTTTCTCAGCCCCAGGGTATGAATTAGATATATCTGTATTTTCTTCTAAAATTAAAAAAAGGGTTTTGCTTTCTGTGTGGTGTTCCTATATGGAATAACGGAGTGATATGATTTTCTTTTTCAATTTGCATAACCACTTTTTCAGCACTTTTTTTCATTTTTATTTTAAAAAATTATTTATTTAGCTGTGCTGTCAGGAAGCATTTAACAGGAGGCTTCCTGTGTGCAGTTTTGGATCTGTCATGAATCCTCTGTTCCTTATTAATACCTGAATATTCAGGAATTAAGAGGAGAGGCAAGCCTCTCCGAGGACTGAGGAATGCATGCATTTCCTTGGTTAGTTTTTCCATGCGGTGAAAAGTAACTATTTACGGCCCTCTTTTGATATGGATCACCTTTTGGCCTTCTGGCCGCTATTGCTCCTTGCTTCCTTGGTAAACTGGTAAAGTCTGGTCTCTTGATCTTTATCTAAAGAAGCTACTGGTATATATATTCTTATAGAATTCAGTAAAGCACCCTTGTTCCATCAGAGCTTGGGTCCCCCTGTCTTTCTTTCTTTCTTGTTCTCTCTATTTCTGGCTGATTCCCTGGAGTGCGAAGGCCGGCTGTGTAACCCAGGGAATATTAGCCTCTTTCCTTCTTTCACTTTTTCATCGTCGACTTGGAACCACCAGGTTCCGGTCCGTTAAAGGACCCTAACACTGTGCCAGGTCTTAGTTGTGACGTGTGCGATCTAGTTCCCTGACCAGGGATTAAACCCAGGCCCCTTGGATTGGGAGTCTTAGCCACTGGACCACCAGGGAAGTTCCTCTCATATTTTTTTTTTATTGTGGTAAAATATGCATAACATAAAATTTACTTTTTTAATCATTGTTAATTGTACAGTTCTGTGGCATTAAATACATTTACATTGTTGTATAGCCATCACTCTCCATTTACAGAATGGATTTCCATTTCCATTTTTATCTTTCTCAACTGAAACTCTGTATCCATTAAACACTAACTTCCCACTCTTCTCCCTCCATCCCCTGGCAACCACCATTCTGCTTTCTGTCTCTGTGAACTTGACTACTAGAGGTACTTCACATAAGTGAAATCATACATTTGTTACTATATTTGTGACAATATTTGTTACAACTGGTGAATAAATATGATACATTATTATTAACTTAAGTTCATGTTTATATTAGAGTTCTGCTCTTTTGTGTTGTGCAGTTCTCTGCGGTTTGACAAATGCAGAATGTTATCACATGACATTTCATGAAATGTCATTGTAGTATCACACAGAATAATTTCTTTTTTTTCACACAGAATAATTTCACTGCCCCCAAATCCCCTGTGTTCCACCC